AAAAAGTTAGATTCAAGGGGACATGTGCAGGTTTGTTACGTGGATGTATTTCATAATGCTGGGGTTTGGGCTTCTAGTGAACCCATTACCCAAATAGTGAGCATAGTACCTAGTAGGTGGAGATTTTGAGGTTGAGTAGGGTTTTCCAACCCCTCTTCTCAATTTTGACTCCCCAGTGTCTGTTATTTTCATGTTTATGTTCATGTGTACTCATTGTTTGTAGGTGAGAACATGCAGACTTTCTGTTTCTGCATTACTTCACTTAGGATAATGGCCTCCAGCTGCATCCATGTTGTTGCCAGGGACATGATGTTCTTTTTTATGGCTACATACTGTTCCATGATGTATATGTACCATGTTTCCTTTATCCAGTCTTCCATTGAAAGACACTTAGGTTGATTCCATGCCTTTGGTGCTGCAATATGCAAATTAGTGCAGGTGCCATTTGATAAAATTTTTTTTTTTGAGTAGATACCCAGTAGCGGAACTGCTGTGTCAAATGGTAGTTCTAGTTCTAGTTCTTTGAGAAATCTCCATACTGTTGTCCATAGTGGCTGTATTAATTTACATTCCTACCAACAGTGTATATATATTTTCTTTTCTCCAAATTCTTGCTAACGTGTTATTTTTTGACTTTTGAATGATAGCCATTCTGTCTGGTATGAGATGGTATCTCATTGTGGTTTTAATGTGCATTTCTCCAATAATTAGTGATGCTGAGCATTTTTTTATGTTTGTTGGCTTAGTGTATGTCTTGTTTTGAGAAGTGTCTGTTCGTGTTCTTTACCCACTTTTTAATGGGGTTATTTGTTTTTTTTCTTCTTCTTCTGATTTAAGTTTCTTAGAGATTCTGGATATTAGTCTTTTATTGGTTTTATGGTTTGCAGATATTTTCTCCCATTCTGTAGGTTGTCTGTTTACTCTGTTAATTATTTCTTTATAACAGACATTCCTTTTGCATTCTTTCTGGTAAAGTTTAGCACCTCTATGATGTGCATAGTAATTTCAGGATTTTGGAATTCCTTTCTTCTCAAAAGAAAAGTTTCATTATTTTAGCCCTAGTTTCATCGCTGAAACTTTTGAAACTGTTTCCAAACTGTTGAAAATTATCAGCGAATTCTATGAATCTAAAAGACCTTAGAAAAAGACTGGTCAGGTAGCATACATTGTGTGAAAGGAGGCATGCAGGGGACAGAGAGAAGGGGTTAGAAGTAGAAAAACAAACGATCTTCAGTGTTGTCTTCCCCAGCAGTTTTCCTCTCTGGCAGTAATCCTTCTAGAACTAGACAGGAATATAAAGCACAATGTAATAAATGGATACCAATGACAGTCTTTTTTTTCTGGTTCATTAATTTAACTTATAATTGACTCAAAACACATGTATAAGTACACATCAATGATGACACATGCCCTGTAAAGTTTTAAAACGTACTAATCTATTCTGTAGAAATTTATAGAAAGGGTCCTTGACAACAGATAAGTTCTTCATGTTCAAGACCTGTCTTAAATAGTTCAGTTGAATCATTTATTGTAGTAATACAGATTTTTTGTAGTGGTGGCCATTAATACTTAGAAGATATTTTTCTTGGATATTTATATGTTGTTACATAGTTTTCCAATTTTTGAAAAGTAGTCTTTGCTTTGTTCTATTTTAGGCTGTTTTTAAGCCTTCGCATTTTATGTCAGCTTCAAAATTAAGATTCTCCAACAAGCTCAAGCTTGAAACTCAGAGCTCTAGAATATCTTTAGAAAGTTGTTTGCAACCACAATTGTAGTCTATTCTTAGGGCCATACCTAAAGGCAGTGGAGCTACTGCATTAGAGCTACCTGGGAGTGTCTATAAACAGTAGATTCCTCTGTGAGGCCCCATACCCACTGAGGAGTATTTTGGGGAGTGGGCCCTGGGAATCTGCCTTTTAATCTAGCTCCCCAGCTGATGCTATGCATACTAAGTTTTAAGAACTACTGTTGCCTCTTGGTATATGCCAGAGACTTTGTTTGAGTGCATCATTCTCTAAAATGCAGTCAGGTAGCTAAAATGCATGGTGGGCACATGCCTGTAATCTTAGCACTTTGGGAGGCCAAGGCAGGTGGATCACAAGGTCCGAAGATTGAGACCAACCTGGCCAACATGTTAAAACTCTGTCTCTACTAAAGATACAAAAAGTAGGCATGCTGCAGGCATGCTGGTATGCGCCTGCAGTCCCAGCTACTCAGGAGGGTTAGGCTGGGACTCATCACCTTTGTTCTTCAGTATTAATGGTCTTGTTAAATTATCGGGGTTTTTTTTGTTTGTTTGTTTGTTTATTTAGAACAAAACAGGTCTCTTGCTTGAATTGGAAATATTAGAAAAGAGTTTCTTAACTTGATATGTGGACAGAATTCAGGGGCCTGTGAACTTAGATGGGAACCCAGGAGGCAGAGGTTGCAGTGAGCCAAGATTGCACTACTGTACTCTAGCCTAAGAGAAAAGGGGGTCAAATGAGTTTATCAATAATGAATGTACTTCTGTTCCTTTTGCAACCCCTAAGTCCAGGACCTTCAAGTCTAAACAGATACTCTCTTTCAGTTGGGCAGTTAGTAACTTTTTCCTGCAGCTTCCAGGTATTTGTGGGTACATTGATTCTGAAACTTTGTTAAGATTAAGGCAGTAGAGGTTTTTTTTCTTAAGGAAAGTGAAAGCACAACATACTTGTCTTTAAAAAATTGTTAAACGTTGCTGTATCACCTTTTTCTTCAGTATTAATGGTATTGTTAAATTATTGTCTTTTTTTTTTCTTTTTTAAGAACAAAACGGGTCTCTTGCTTGAATTGGAAGTATTAGAAAAGAGTTTCTTAACTTGGTGTGTGGACAGAATTCAGGGGTCTGTGAACTTGGATGGGAAATAATTTTTTCTTTATTTTCACTGACTCCAAGTTGAAATTTAGCATTTCCTTTAATCATGGCCATAGGCAGTAAACCACTGTAATTCATTTACCTGTGATTTCATTGCCAACAGAAAGCACAGATATTTTGATATTATTTGTTGTTACAGACATCTCAAGAGTGCTTGTGTTCATCATGTCTTCAGAATTATAGTAGATATTAGACCAACTGCTAAATCTTATTTTATAATATCTTGTGCATGTTATATTTAAAATTATTCAATGCTCATGCACTTCAGTATAATTGATATCTTTTGAACTCTTATGTGTTTTATTTTATGCTTTTACAAATAGTATTTTGAGAAGGAATCTGATCCATAGGCTTCACTAGACTGCCAAAGAGGATCAGGTACAAAAAATAGGAAGAACACCTGTCTTGTCTAGAATCTTTTCATCCTAAATCATTTTCTTTTCTTTTCTTTTCTTTTTCTTTTTTTTTTTTTTTTGAGGTATTTCTCTTAAATGAATTATTTTTCCTGTTATAGTCATCTCATCATTATATTTTTTTTAACTGTAGCTGACTCCACTGGAACCCATTCTCTGTACACAACATACAAAGATTATGAAATTATGTTCCATGTTTCTACCATGCTGCCATACACACCCAACAACAAGCAACAGGTAAGAGATCCTCCTGTTATCTGTGTTTCATTTGTTTCATTTCCTCTGGAAGCCTAAGTGGCAAGCTTGTAAAATCTTAAACCAGAATTTAGTGTTGCACCTGTCAAGCAGCGGGAAGCTTTGTGCTAAGGAACAGCAAATGAGCTGAAAACAAATGAAGAGACACAAATTTTAGGTTAACAGCCAGCTGGATGCCTTTGTGAATTAATCATTTGCTTTTCACCCACTGGGATTGAGGTTTTCATGAAATCCGAAGAGAACAAGTTGAAATCATTGGTGATTAGATGACTCTGCAGGGTTGCAAAGAACATCCATGAGTGGGTGAAGTTTCATCTCAAGAGGCTAGTGTACAGAGCAGGAAAGTTGTGATGCTTCATTGTAGATTTCAAAGAAGATTTAGAATACTAACTTGGAAAAAAGTCAAAATAATGTCAGCAGAATAATATTCTTCCTTACCATGTTGATTGAAAGATAGCAAGGAACATAGTAACAATTGCGTATGTGTACATCATACACAGAGCTTCTCTTAAAATGATCTAAAAGCTCATTGCCTAATTACTAAAGTGCAAGTGAGGTAGTAAAATGGGGAAAACTAAGAGGTGACAGATTGTTACAGAGCAGACTGGAAACTGGCAGTATTGTTTTAGGGAATATGTGGTAGTTGATTTTTAAAAATATTTCAAAATAAATAATAGCAAGCTGAAATTTAAAAGAATCAGAGAGCTAACAAACTCTTCTTTTAAAAGCTATTACAAACTCGAGCAGTCCAGTTTTACTTCTGACCTTCAAATGGATATAGATTTCTGTTTTTGTCAATTGTTGTGTTAACACAGCGCAGGACAGCTGCAGAATGAATCACATCCTCTTTCACAGAATTTAACCAAACACTGTTCCAATCTAATGTTTTATCGCTTTAGGTTTGATTAAATCACAAATCTAGGTAATAGAGTTTTGCCTTTCATGATTGTTAGCATACTAAAAAATCGGTAGCAAAGCAATGAATTGGCTGTAAATCTGAAGTAAACCTGTTTTAAGATAAACTTCGTGATCTGTATTTTGTTGATAACTTGTTTTATGCAAATTCCAAATTTTAGCTCTCTTTGAAAGAAAAACATGATAAGAAAGGCAAACTAAACTTATTATTCTGACCAGTCAGTAGGTAAAAAATTTAAGAACATTAACAAATGATCCTTAAAGAGGGCATGAAGGCTTATTCTGCCTGATCACTTAGAAGAGAAAGATGAGATTTGTGAGGGTAGAAAGTTTAGTAACAAGATTGGATTGTTTTTTTCTAACTAAATGAGTTGAAGTACCAGGCAGAGAAAGCTGGCATTTAAATGGCAGCATCTAAATTATTTAATTTTGGAGTCCAATCAAGGCAAAAATGTTAACAGTCCTAAATCATAATGAGAAATAAATTGGTACTATAACAGATTAAGAAAATTTCACTCTCTAGTCAAAAAATTTATTTTCCTCTATATAGATTACTTTATGCTTGGCGGGGGGGAGAAAAAAAAACAGGAAAAATGTATCGTTAAAAATTCTTTTGCAAACATTTCTAATATAAATACTATTTTTCATTATATATAGTAAATATGGAAAAACTGATTTGTTTCTATTTGGGCCCCTATTAAGACCCTTATTTTTATATGTCAAGCCATATTTTGAAGAAAGAATAACATTGCAGGAATGGCACAACAGGTAGATAAATAGTATTTGTTTTTGTTACGTTCACAATCTTGAGTAGATTAATAATCTTTAATAACTGGTATGTTCTGTAGAGCAATCAATACACACCAGCCTTTATTTTCATAACATCTGATTGTATATCATATTTAGAAATGAACTCAGAAATAAACTGTTTTCATTAGAAGACAATTTGGGATGCTTTCAAATTCCTAAGGTTAAAAGTACATTTCCTGGACATTCTAACTCCCAACTCTCAATAGTAATCTAAAAGGCTATTGTCTCTCCCAGCTGGCAGCCAATACTAGATCACTGATTTTACTGGTATGCAATTTGTGTGCCTTAACGTCAGTAGAGAATTTTTTAAAATACAGATTTTATAAGAAGAAGATTATGTCTAATGGATAGTTTATATAAATGTCACAGTTGTTTTTCTTTTTTAAGAGCCTCCATATAATAAGTATGAGAAACACAAATTTTGTTGTTTTTCTTTCTTTTTTTTTTTTTTGAGATGGAGTTTCACTCTTGTTACCCAGGCTGGAGTGCAATGTTGCGATATCGGCTCACCGCAACCTCCGCTTCCTGGGTTCAAGCAGCTCTCCTACCTCAGGCTCCCGTCAGTTTTTCTTTACACTGTTGAATTAACTGCTGAAAGGCACTGATCTAGGATGCTCTGGGATGCCTGGGTTTGAAAACCACGCATCCAACACCCACTGAATGTGAAACAGGGTGTCCCTAAGCAGCTTTCATTGCAATTAAAGAAGCTGTTTAAACTGGAGATTTACCTGCTTTTAATTGTTGCAACATTCTGGAATATTATACTTTTCTACATGACCTGCTTGTGACACAAAATGTATATCAAAAAATACCTTAGCCATATTTTCTTTCAGTGAAGCTAATTAAACTAGAACATAATTACATTGTAATTATTTCAGCCATTCTCATCTCTAAAAATCTTCCCTATGGAACATTTTTTTCTTATGTGAAAATGGAACAGAGATGTTGTTACAGAAACTGAGGATTTGGAGTTGTTGGGACCTGGCATGGTATGCAAGTTATTGGGTAGATCTATTTGAATGGCTATATCTTTTATGCAAATTTCAGAATATTCGCTTCCATGTTCTTCTTTTGAGGGAATGATAAGGCAGGCTAAAACATTGACAGTAACTTTGTAGATTACCTACCTTAATGAGTACTGATTAATAATGAATGTTTTAAATACAACCACATAAGGGAAATGGGGGGGAGCAAATTATTGTCATTTATGTTGGTTGCTTATTTTTTCTTGTAGCTCCTAAGGAAGCGGCACATTGGAAATGATATTGTAACAATCGTTTTCCAAGAGCCTGGAGCACAGCCGTTCAGCCCAAAAAACATCCGATCCCACTTCCAGCACGTTTTTGTCATCGTCAGGGTGCACAATCCCTGCTCTGACAGTGTCTGTTACAGGTGTGTATGGGTGTCACAGCAGGGGCTCTATGGATGTTGGCTGGTTATCACACAGAGGCTCTATCCAGCTCTGTATTCTAAAGTGGCAATGGGAAATCTATTACTATTTCTTTTTGTCTTTAAACTGTGTGCGGATGGCTGAATTCACATGATGACGTAATCTGGTGGCATTGACACTACCCAGGCATGTTGGTTAGACACCTGCCGTTTCCATTTGCACCTCCTCCTTAGGTGATGTCCTTCATCCATACCATCTGGTCACCAACCAACTAATTACTCATGCTGCTAATTATATTTTTCTGTTGGCATTCCAAGGGCAGAGAAGAACTATTATAATATATAGGGAAGAGAAGTTAATTTTTTGAAAAGCATTGTTATTAAAGAAGCCTAAATCATTGCCTCTAACTTACATGATTCACAGTAGCACTCTTGACTACAAGCTTAAAAGCACTTCTATACTTTATTTAGTGTTCAGTGACACTTGTTGACATAGTCACATGAGTATCAGAATTCAGGCCTCTATCTGCAGAGACCTTTCTTTGTAAGAATACTGGAGAGTTAGGAGTCAAAGGGGATGGGGACCTGTAATGCTGGCTTGATATGGGTGGTGTGCGAGAATGTGTAAGGATAATGTTCTGGCATTTGTAAGATGTTTTTAATATATGTGTCAGTCCTTTCAAAATATGGACAATTTAGCACATCTTTCCATCCTAAAATGTTGCCTGCATGAAAAGTAACCAGTGCAGATTGACAGTTTGTGGGATCCACATTGTCTATTTCTAGAAGTAAAACAAATTAATTCTAGGAGTAGAGTAAGCATAGTTTAGAGAAAAAAACAAGTAGAGGTTATGTTGGTCTCCTGCTGGCTGTCATCTTCCTTGCACATATCCTAATAACTGCAATGGTTGAGCTCTTGTTATAAGCCCCACACTGTTCTAGACATCTTACATGTATATCCCATTTAATCTTTAAAACCTATGAGATGGGTACTGCTTTTATCTCCATTTCCAGATGATGAAATTTAAGCCAGGTCACTTGCCTCAGGTTAGCTGGCTAGTGTTTTGAAGAGAATTAGGCAGGGATGCAGCCAGTCTGATTCTGGAGCCCAGTGTCTTATCTATGCTGCTATGCTGTCTCTCTCACATGCTGGGAAAGCTGAGTTTTGCACTCCTAGTTCCCAACACAGAGGCTGTTCCAGAACTTCTCAAGTGCTGAGCCTTGGTGAACACCCAAGACCAAGGACGTCTGTAGTTTCCTAGAGTTGGGGTAGAAACCCCAACAGTGGAGACCTAGATCTGAAACCTCTTATCAAGGAAATAGTGTCTGAAAGCTGCTCTGGTTAGTTGTAGAATGAAAGCACAGAACAATCAGCTATAATTGGGATGGATAACTGCTTGCATTTAGAAAATACTCTGAGCAATTTAAACATGCTATGTGCTAGATTCATGCAAAGGATTTCACACCACTTCATACTTTTGGTAGAAAGCTAAACCCATTTTGAATGGGCACTACAAAGTTTGGGGAGTAGAAAGCTATGTAATTTCTTTTAAAGAAAGTTTCTTCTTTTCCAGCCCATGTCTAAATCAGTACTGTCCAATGGGACTATAATGCAAACTGCATATTAATTTTACACTTTCTAACAGCCAGATTTTTTTTAAAAGTGCCAAGATATAGATGAAATTAATATTGACGCTGTTTTTGACCCATTTATACATTTTATTTACTTAATATATCTAAGTATTATTTCAACATTAATTTTTCCAGCATTTAACAATTACTGTGACATCTTACATGTTTTTTTTTGACTAAGCCTTTGTAACCTCAAGTACATTTTAGACTTACAGCATATCTCAGTTAGGAGGCTAAATTTTCATTGGTGATGCTTAATCTATATTTAGATTTCATAAAATTCACAATGGAAAAGGTAGATTTAATACACCCAGATTCTTCCAAATGTAACAGAAGTATCAGTTTTAAAATCATATGTCGATTAATATTTAATATAATTTGATATTCCTTGTTCACACCAGCCACATTTCAAGTGCTCAGTAGCCACAGCTGGCCAGCGGCCGCTGTAATGGACCGCACAAGTTTAAACAGACTGCTGAGGGCAGGTGTGCTTGCCTTCGTCGGTGCTTTGCTTTTTTCTTTTTATCACCCCCTCCTGAAAGTTATGATTTTTACCTTCTCTCTCTTACTTTTAATCTGTTGCCTGAGAGCCCATCTTTTTAACCCCATCCTGTAACACTAGGAGTCTTTGTGGGGAACGGCATACTGAACACCCCCTGCTCAAGACATGTGAGCACGTCTGGAATTTCTTAGTTACCAGGCTTATTTGAAGGCCCAGCACACAGCTTTTAAGTGGTAAATTTTGACCTTTTTATAAATCCAAGAGAACATATCAGCTTGTAACATCACTGAAAGAAATCACAAGAGATTATAGAGTAGTGACCTTTGCCTATTGTAAACTTATAAAGATCAGTAATTTTTTTGGCATCCTTCTCAAGAGAGGCAGGCACCTCCTGGGTAGATGGTGATGTCAGGAAGTGTTTGAAGGCACAGAATAAATAGAGCACCTTTCTTCTAGTCTTTAATGTTGAGGGAGGGGTGAGGACGAGCTTATTTTCTCATGAAAATAAGTGTATTCTGAGGTGGAATGGAAAATATCAATTTTCAGAGAAAACATGGGTCTTCAAAGAATTTTTACAACAGTGAGTTTTTCTCAAACCCAGCTACTCTTCAAACTACTAGGGATATGAATTTATAGGCCTCTTTTATTAGGGGTGGTTTGGTGGATAAACTTAGACATGGATTGATTTATACTCATTTCATTTAAATCTAATTTAATTTTATCCCTAAGTGATACAGCTAGAGTAACTCAAATGCTTTTTTAATTTATTTTTAATTTTTTATTTTTGTGAGTACATTGTAGGTACATATATTTTGGGGGTGCATGAGATGTTTTCATATAGGCATGCAGTGTATAATAATCACACCAGGGTAAATGGGGTATCCATCACCTCAAGCTGTTATCCTTTGTGTTACAAACAATCCAGTTATACTGTTATTTTTAAATTTGCAATTAAATTATTTTTAACTGTAAAAATAATTTTAAAAACTATAGTCATCCTGTTGTGCCAGCAAATACTAGGTTATATTCATTCTTTCTAACTATTTTTTGTACCTCAGGTGCTTTCTCCACCTCATTGAACACACGTATATTTACTTACTTACACCTACCTGGTATCTGAACTGTGGAAAGGGGAAAGGTTCCCTTGAAAGAGTGTCCTGCCGTGATAGTGCAGAGAGGTGTCAGGTCATTAGAGGCTGAAGTTACATGGATATTTATGAAAAGCTGGGATTTGGAGTGTGTGTGTTAAAGCATAAGTGGATGGAATTCAGTAGGAAAAAGAGAAATCATTCTAGGAGTGGTCAGTAGAAAGGATAGAAGCCTAGAGATGAGAAGGAGGATGGAAAGCACAATAGAAAGGCTACTGATGCAAAACAGATAACTAATGCAGGAAAGATAACTAATGCAGGAAAGATAATGGGGGCCCCCGGTATGCTAGGCCATCAGTTCAACACTACGTAAGTGGAATTCTAGGAAAAATTATCCAGTGTTACCATGCTAGGTAATTTGTACGCAGAAAGGTAAATTTGGAGACTGTCATTATTCATTTATTTTTTATCAGTTCTTTATCCAGCCCTTAGCATATATGTGCTAGACACTACTCTAGACGATGGGATATATCAGAACAAAGAGAGAAAAATCCCTATGGTGGATGCAGAGATGAGATCTCAAAATACTGTGGTATTATATCTCCCTGGAGACTAGAAAGCCTACATAGGAATAACTGCCTAATTCAGACTAATTCCAGAGGGCAATTAATGTGAGTCATCATGTAGCCAAGAACTCAGAAATTAGTCACTAAGTCTGCATGCTAAAGCTTATCCTATAACCGAAAAGGGAGCCCTCCAGTCTCCATTGTTTCATTTGTATCGTTGCAGTGACCTTGATTGTCTGATCCCAGTCGATAGAGAAGATTAGAAGCAACAAAATAAAAAAAGGTGAAGGGGCTGTTAATAGTGAGTGTATGCTGGAAACAAATATTTGTTTATAGATAGAGGAGATGCTGAAAAACTATTCGCATCAAAGATATGAATTCAATCAGCATAGCGGTCTGGGGTCATTTGATTTTGGACCAAAAAATCAAATACAGTAATTCCTCCCTTATCTGTCAGGGATATAGTCCAAGACCCCCAGAGGAGGCCCAAAACCACAGTAGCACCTAACCCTGTATACAGTATGTTTTTTTCCTATATGATAATGTTTAATTTATAAATTAGGCACAGTAAGATATTAACAGTAATTAATAAAATAGAACAGTTATAACAGTATACTTTAATAATAGCTATATGAATGTGGTGTCTCTCTCAAAATACCACCTTGTACTATACCAGGGCTAACTGAAGCCACAGAAAGCAAAACTGTAGATAAGGGGGACTGTTGTATGCTTCAGTCAGTCCTGAGGGCTTCACTGTGAAAACACAGTATAGAATAATACCATTTTTCAACAACTAATGAATTAATGGATTTAAGCATTGATCACCAAAGGATGCAAATACCATAAAAAGAGACAAATGTGTGCTTCATAATGGAAGAATACAACCTCACCTATGAATTATTCTTGCCCCCCCCAAAAAAAATTAAATCTGAATCTCATCAAGCTTCCAGACAAGCCAATTTATAGGAAATACAAAAGACAGAGGAACATGTTTGTAGTTGACAAAATTCATACGCTGGATAACTGTGTAGACAAAAAGCCCAATTTCTTCAATAAATAAGTTGTAAGAAATAGTGAGAAAATGGAGGGGAATCTATAGAATAAAACATTTTTTTAAAGCTAAACTAATTGCAATGTGTGGACCCTATTTAGATGCCAGTTTAGAGAAAAAGACTCTAAAGAAGATCTTAGGACATCCTAAACATTTGTAAATCAGAACATTGACACACTATTTGATGAAATTAAATAATTTTTATCATTTTAAAACTAGAATAATAATAAGTAGTTATAACAATGACCCTGAGTCTTCAAAACAAATGTTAAATTGTGGTCAGTAGGTATGTTTAGGAAGGTAGAAATTTATGTTACTCCTCTCAGAGAGGTTTCCATACCTGGTAATTAAAATGTAATAACTGTTGAAAGGAATCGGTATGATGTAGTACAAAAAGCACTTTGAATTAGACCAAATTGTTACACTTCTTAGTGCAGTGGGAAGCTGCTTGACATCCACTTAAAATCCTGTAAGTAAAATGTCTAGCATAGGCAGAGAGGAAGTGTGATGCATGTCCATTAAATGTCTGTGTTCATCCTCTTTCCTCTCTTAAAAAAAAAAGAAAAGAATTTGCAAGCTGCAACTGAGAAGAAGAAAAATCCAAGAAGGGCAAGTGGTCAAAATTTCTCTAAGGTTTGTTTTAAGCCTCAATAAATCATCATCCCTATTGTCCACTGCAGCTGACCTTTCTAAGAGTCTGATTACATCATTCATTGTACTTAAAAGCATTGAGAGAAAAGTTCAGACTTTTGAGCATAGCTTACTGCATGGGGGCCTTCAGGTCTGGCCTCCTGTCAGTCAGTCTCATCTACCATTCTGCACCCTACACCTACCTCGCTCCATTGGAGCCACTCACCACTCCCCAGAACAGCGTGCTCTGCCCCTTCACTCTTCACATGCTGCTCTTGGGCTGGAAGGCCGGCCTCCTCTCACACACTCCCCTGCCCCTACTTCATCTGATGAATTCTTGCTCTTCTTTTTTCTGAGAAGCCTCCCTGGACTTCCCAGGACTAAAGTGTCTTTCCTAAGTGCTACCAGCAGCACCCTGTACTTCTCAAGTAGAAGACTCGAACCACTGGCTGTGGCTCCCACCAGACTTTGAGTTTCTGGAGGGCTAAGCCCAGGACATCCTCACCCTTTATCCTCAACAAGAGCACAGTGCCTAGCGCATAGTAGGTGCTCAGTGACTGGTGGATCAATATTATTAGAAATCAAGAGAATGATTGGCACATGTTTGATCTTTCCTGCCCTTTGCCCAGATCTGCTTTCTTGGAAGCTGCCCTGTCCAGTTAATCTGATCCAGGCTCCAAGAAGAGGAGACTTCCCTCTACCATTTGATGTTTTCTTTGTTACCTTCCTTTTAAATTTTAGGCTGGGGATTGTTGGTTATTGCTGGTTTTCCGTGGTGCTTCCAAAGTTAAAATGTCTTATTTTTCTCACTTTTTATCCACTAAACTTCTGTTTAGAAGTCTTTGGGATGTTTTTATGTGTAAGCTTGAAGTTTGCCATAGGTATAAAGACTTGTTACTTTATCCAAGCTGTTTGATGCCAACCAACGTTACATGGCCCATATCAACTAGAAACAGCCTCATTGTCTTTTTGGCCACGTAACCCATGGGGATGGCCCGTTTCAGCAGGCACCTCGGGAGTAGAAGGTTTCAAAGCACTTCCTCAGAGGGAGTAAGTGTGGGTTTGTCGTGGAGCACTCTCTTGGCTGTCCAGAAGCTTACACTCCAATCCTGGCTCTCTCTGACAAATCTGGGCAAATCCTTTTACTTCTCTGCATCTGTTTCCTGGAGAAGTGAAGAATTTATACCAGCTGCTCAACCGGAGGTTCGGGAAGATGCCAAACCACAGAATAAAAACAAGACACCTTCCTGGTCCCTCAGTGTACCCAGAGACTTTGGAGTGAGAAGATATTTTTATGTTGAAACGAACATAAACATTTTTCAGTGGAATATAAAATTGGGGTGAATTTTCAGATGAAACCCAAGATTTTATTGGAAGAATTTGAGGAACATTGAGTTCTCTAAGTTCTCTTCCTGTGATAACTTTCCATCACTGTTGTAGCCTCTGAATTCTGTCATCTAGATAATCCTCTTGAGTAGAACGTTCCAGTCTTCAACATGCTGGGTAAATAAAGCTTGGCTATGATTTTAAAGCATGTATTATTTCCAAGAAGGCACAGAATTGCCAACTAGGCTAACATAAGCATGGCCAAGCAGAGGCCCTTTGGAATCTGCTTTTAAAAATGCCAAGAACCATTTATGATCTTAAGTAACTACATATAGCAAACTGAGATTCTAGAATGGCTTATTTTCTTACAGAGGCAAAAGTATTCTGTTTAGCTTAACCCAGGACTTATTATCAAGAGTTCAGAATTTGTGCCATCTAAATTAACAAGCTTTTAACTTTGTAGGAACCTTGCCAGTTTGATTTATCCAAAACAGAATTCTTTATTTGAAAAGAGCATTCCAGGGTATCATCTTCCTCATCTTCTGTAAGGATTCTATTTCTGACTATGCAAAGCTGATTTCAGTGCCTGTATCATTTACCTCCCTACCACAGTGAATCATTGAAAATTATATGTTAAGGATTCGGTTCTTTTCCTCACAGTTCATTATAACTGCTTTAATTATTGGTAGGTTTTTAGTGTATGCTTGTCTAAAGTTCTATCAATTAATAAATGGATCTGTAGAAAGCCAGTTAAAGGGGCAAGTAGATGAAGGGTGCTTATAATCACACCTCTGCTGAGCATTTTGCTCTCCTTATTTAAAATAAAATCATAGATATTTTCTGAGAAAGAATAACAATTCGAGTGAAATTAGCAAATGAAAAATTGCAAATTTTAAAAGGAAAGATATTAAATATTTCTGGATTCTTATTGGATTCCACTTAGAAAAAATCTAGCAAACCTGGATTTCAGCATCTTTTGCTTGCCTTTAAGAGAAAAAAAATTAACATGATCAAATTAAAATTATACAGCTGTCAGTGTTCAAGTCAGGCAGTTCACAATAGATAAGAAAATTTGCCTTCCTGATACATAGTGGTATAATTAAGCCATATGGAAGTCTCTGAATTCTCTCCTCCAGTTAGAAAATGGAGTGTTGCTTGCCACCTTTCTTTGTCATGAAGTGAACTAAGTAGTCTGTTAAAAATATATTTGTGAATCCAACAAACAGGCCATCCCATGGCATCTTCTGAGCATGTAGCTTTTCCATTCCGCCAAAAATATAATTTGCATCCTGAGGTTGCTGATTTTTATTTTTCTTATTTTCACAAGAAATAACTATTTCTTGAAAAGCAGAGCTGAATATCTTAAAGCAAAACCCTTCATTTAAAAAAAGTGAAACAAAGCTCTTCAATTTTATTTGAAAGATGCATATTCTCTGATGATGCCATTTCTATTCCAAGAGTTCAGGAGAAACCATTTTTTTTTATTGGTTCCCTAATACTAAGTATAATTGCATAATTTGCTGACTTTTAATTTGGAAGGAGGAATATTTGATGTGTTAGAATCATTATTTCTAGCCATGTCAAACTTCACTAAAATCTTGGAACATGATATAAAACACGCAACCTCTGTATTTCTATTTCAACAACTTCCTTTGTTGTTTTAGGAGAAGATTTTTTCCTTTTGAGGTTAAAAATAATAGGTTATTACAGATGTTCATATGATCCTTTTCTTAGGCCCAATTTTAAATATATATTCAGAAGAAATGACTGGAACAGGCTTTTTTATATCAATCTTGCTTAGAAGAATGGAAGAAGGAAAACATTTTTCTTACAAATAGACTGTCAGAATAAAATACCAAAAGGACCAAGGAATAGTTCAGTTTAAAGATATCATTTTAAAGCATTGTTGATATTACATAAAGATTATTCTCATACTATTACTCAGATTCCAATTTTCATTTTAAAATTATGCTTTTAATCTGGTTGCATAATGACTCACACTTAGGCCAAAAAATACTAGTTAAATTTCATTAAAATATAATCCATTTCTTTTATGGCATGCATCTTCTGGTATTTTCAGTATACGCTCTCTGCTTATAGACATCATATCTAAAATGAAGAACACATTTGTGTTCTCACAGAATACATGCTTGTTCTGAAAGATGATGTGGTTACAGTAACCCCCCACCCCCCAAAAATGATTAGTAGGATTTAAAATGTCTTATGCAGAATATTACAGTAAACCTATTTTTTTTTTCCATGAAGTTATGGTCAGTTTCCTATCTAGTAAAGAAAGTTAATAGCATAAGCTTTTGGGATTTGGGGAGGTTTGTTTTTTGCCTAGAAAAAATTTTATGTTGTATAAATCCTAAATGTGATTGAATGAAAAAATATGCTTCAATTAAGCAGAAATGTATGTTGTTTCTCATGGAAAAATAAGCAGCTAGTTTGCATCTGAGGTACGTCTCTGTCTTTGAGAAAGTATATTTTATTCTGATGATGTGAGACTGAGAAGTACTGACATGGCTCTCTTTGATCTTTGTCTCTCAGTGTGGCTGTTACCAGGTCCAGAGATGTGCCTTCCTTTGGGCCTCCCATTCCTAAAGGGGTCACTTTCCCTAAGTCAAATGTGTTCAGGGACTTCCTTTTGGCCAAAGTGATAAATGCAGAAAATGCTGCTCATAAATCGGAGAAGTTCCGGGCCATGGCAACTCGGACCCGCCAGGAATACCTGAAAGATCTGGCAGAAAAGAATGTCACCAACACCCCTATCGACCCTTCTGGCAAGTTTCCATTCATCTCTCTGGCTTCCAAGAAGAAGGAAAAGTCTAAGCCATACCCAGGAGCTGAGCTCAGCAGTATGGGGGCCATTGTGTGGGTAGTCCGGGCTAAAGACTACAGCAAGGCCATGGAACTAGACTGCCTTTTAGGGATCTCCAATGAGTTCATCGTGCTCATTGAACAGGAAACGAAGAGCGTGGTCTTCAATTGTTCCTGTAGAGATGTGATAGGGTGGACTTCCACTGACACCAGCCTCAAAATCTTCTATGAACGAGGAGAATGTGTTTCAGTGGAGAGTTTTATTAACAACGAGGAGATCAAAGAGATTGTCAAAAGGTTGCAGGTGAGTCTTTCCACTTCCTTACATACCCTTTCTCTTTCATAAAGCTTTCAATACAGGCTAGAGCCAAGTTATTGAACCTTGCACTCTGTTATTAGCTCCTCTGAAAACTCGCATGATGTGTGAAGCAAACAGAGTTTATCTCATGTTTGTGTTTTCCACGGATGTTTCAGAAAAGTAGAAGTCAGGGAAGACACATTTATTCTGTGTGTGTGTGTGTGTGTGTGTGTGTGTGTGTGTGTGTAACCCATTTGCCTGTGACCTGTTCCCTGATGCTGCAGCCCAGTCCACGAATGTTTCAGAAAAGTAGAAGTCAGGGAAGACACATTTACTCTGTGTGTGTGTGTGTGTGACCCATTTGCCTGTGACCTGTTCCCTGATGCTGCAGCCCAGTCATCTGCTGGTGGTGGTGAAAGAATTGTTTGAGTTTCTGCTGCCTTGAATTTTACAAAGGCGAAATAAGTAGCAGTATATGGTTTCTATTTACTGCCAGCTCCCTGTAGGTCTCTGTTAGAGGTTTCCTTGTAACTTCAGGGAAGCCGTTGAGCTTTTTGGATGCAACAAGTATATTCCTTTTGGCCTAATGAATAGGAGACTAGTGGAGAAGAAATAACCAGACTGCTCTTCAGCTGGCAATAAGGTATTCAAAACTAACCCTTCCTGCAATGATTTTCCAGTTCCGTGCCCACCACTTAATACCCTTAATATTGCTTTAAACCACAATATCTTTTGTCTCCTTGTCTAGTTTGTTTCAAAAGGCTGTGAATCAGTGGAGATGACTCTGCGAAGAAATGGCCTAGGACAGCTTGGCTTCCACGTCAACTATGAGGGCATCGTGGCGGATGTGGAGCCCTACGGTTATGCCTGGCAGGCAGGGCTGAGGCAGGGCAGTCGCCTGGTGGAGATCTGCAAGGTGGCTGTAGCCACTCTTAGCCATGAGCAGATGATCGATCTCCTGAGAACATCTGTCACGGTGAAGGTTGTCATCATTCCTCCCCATGATGACTGCACCCCACGGAGGTAGGTCTGAGGAGGCAGCTGTGGGCCTGAGACTTGAGTGCAGGGTTTGTGTACCATGTAGAACATCTCTTAGCAGGTAGGGGGGTAAGGTGTTGTGTAGAACAATAGATTGTATATGATGCTGAATGTTTCATTTGTGGAGCCTGACTCAGGACAAAGCTCCCTTTCAGTGTGTGGCAACAGCAGCTGGAAAGAATGACTAAATGAGACCATTACTGGGATTTACATCTCTGGATATATAAAGTTGCCATTACAGATAGAGAAGTCTGGCAATATCCGTCTTAAGAATCTTCCAATAGGAGCTGAGAAACATGAAACATTTAACATTAAAAGACACTCAGCATCTCAAATTGTCAGATTTTTTTTTGATTTATGTTCCATGATGCTGTTACTCTCTTTTCTCTCCCAATTGCTGCCCAAAACTCAGCAATTGTTTGGACCTTTGCTGTCTCAGCCTGGCAGCTGCTCTTCCTAACTGTATCTGCATGTGCTAGGAATTGGCTTCAGGTGAGCTGCCCCTGCTCATGGTGCTTTGGCATTTTGGTTCCTAGTCTTTTCCAGAAGGGAAAGCCTAGGAGCTCCCTGCCCTACACAACCCCCCACCGCTCCTGCCAAGCCAGCAACACTGTTGAAAATTTAATTTCTCTGTCTCTGGGAAGGTTTTTTGATGGAACAAATTTAATCAACTGTTTATTTTCTCCTTTGGACACGTACATGCTTTTTTTGCTAGTTTTTAAGATTTTTATTTTATGCCATTGTTTTCTAAGAATTTATCTTAAGCTTTGGTAATTGATTCTTAGGCTTTCTAAAGCCAAGACAGTGTTCTGTGTCCTATTTTCCCACTAAGATGACCAGTCCTACACCCTGAGCTCTCATGGATTTATGAATATCAGGTGGTAGAAAGGTGATGGTGATAATGGGCTGTTTGTGTCTTTTTAAAAAAAGTAAAAGTGCAGCAAATATATATGTGTGTGTGTGCATGTGCGTGTGTGTGTTTTATATACTTTGCTCAGGATAGTATTTCCTAATACTGCTTACCTCCTAGGGGGTCCAGAGATTATGTGCGTATGTCAAAATATAGAAAAATTCATTTGTCTTATAATTTGAAGAACTGCCTTTTGGATGGCTGCATTTCCCTGGAAATCAAAATATGAACTTTTAATTTCACCTGTTTTAGAGAGAAGGAAATATTCAGAAACTGCCCTACCCATATACCCTGCCTTAGTTAACTAGGCCTAATGAACCCTATTAGCTTTGTTTGGTTTCCCCAAGTATATCATCATTAAATGTTAAGTAATGTGCTGAACTGTGATTGAAAAAATGATGTGAGGTGGCTCAGAAAGGCAGCAGGGTTCTTGCTTATGACAGTCTCCAGCCTTGCTGCATTCCTTCTCTTGTCTCTTTCTCTGCTGTCTCTCCTTCAAATTGTCTGCTTTATTGCTCTGAACAGGCAGTTAAAAACGGAAGAAGATAACTAATCTTTGTAAATTGTCAACCTTAGTTACCTACAGTAAAGAGTTATAGACATTAGTCTACGGACTGTCTACTGAAATATGGAGCCTTTGACCTCGTGATGCCATCCTGCCTTCTCAGAGGTCTTTCCCTTGTAGCTAAGCTCCCAGGGTTATATGTGGGAAAGGAGAGGGAAATGGGTTTGCGTGACTGTGGGTGGAATGAGACAACAGTACAGACATTGGCGTTGTAAATACCTGTTACTAGAAAGACAGATAAGAGACCTGGACCTGGATAGATGGAGCCATGATAGGAGGTATACTAGACTAGGTACATTGTGGTGTGTCAGTGAGAATAACTAATGTACTGAGTTTTTTGCTTTAATATGCCAGACCCTGGAAAAAGCACCTTTTTATGAATTAGTGAATTTAATTATTATAACAACCTTTCTGATGATAGTGTTAGTATTATTCCTGTTTTAAAACCAGCCAAGACTCAAAGGTTAGTAACTTGCTAAGCTCATCTGGCAAATTTAGGTCTAACATCAGAGTCCAGGCTCTGAATCGCCACTTTGTGTGCTTGGAGCACAGATCCTTTCCTTATACACCAGAATCAGCAGTGATGTGCTGGTAAGTTGGCTTTCTGTTGGGGGCGGGGGAGCAACTTTATTTGTAGTGTTTGCTGATTCCTGTGGTGCAGATACTCCCACTGTGGCTGGTTCCAAGCTTCTGATGTGATGTCATTGCAGGCAGCATTGGGGTAGATGGGATGATTGCCAGTCCAGCACACCAGAGAGTGAATGAGCTGTCACAGCACTGTGAGGCTCTCAGGCCTTCCCGGAGGAGCCAGTGGATCTGTCAGTGACCTGTCGTTTGGGTGCCAGGAGGGGAGGCTAGGGAAAGGATTAGTGCACTGCACAGGGCCCCTTTCACTACAGTTTCCGTCTGAAAAGCCATCAGACCTGGGCAGGGCAAGTGGGAAATGCTTTGATACCTTTGGAGGGCTGAAAGCCTGCTCCTCTCTCCTTCCTTTAGAAATAACCTCAGAGAGGGCTCTGGGGAGTGGCTCACGCCTGTAATCCTAGCACTTTGGGAGGCCGAGGCGGGCAGATCACCTGAGACCAGGAGTTCCGTACAAGCCTGGCCAATATGGCAAAACCCTGTCTCTACTAAAAATACAAAAAAAAAAAAAAAGTAGCCGGGCGTGGTGGTGGGCGCCTGTAATACCAGCTACTTAGGAGGCTGAGACAGGAGAGTCCCCTGAACCCGAAAGGCAGAGGTTACAGTGAGCTGAGATTGCACTCCAGCCTGGGGAACAAGAGCGAAACTCCATCTCTAAAAAAAATAAAAATAAAAATAACTTCAAAAGGAACAGCTGAAGCATTAACACCTTGTTACAGTTTTCAACAAAATAGAATAATGCTCTTGTGTCATTTTCTTCGTCTCCTCTGCTTTTCACACTCCCACTGCTGTTTTTCTAGCAACTAATTACTCCGTTCTTTGAATAGTAGACTTTACCACCAGTCACTGCAGCTGCAGCAAGAGGCAGGACAGACCTCGAGACAAGCTGCTCCTCTGCCCCTCAGCCTGGTGGTTCTTAGGGTCACCAGGACCCCGAGTGGGACACAGGCAAGGGGGTGGGGACATCTCCCACTGTGTGTAATACAAACACCCCCAGGATGTAATACAAACACACATGGATTTGCGTGTTCACATGGGAGAGTCATTCATTTTGAAAAGGCAGCTTTTTAAAAACGCATATAGTAGTTCAACAACAAAGAAGTGGTATTTAATTAACATGTAAAGCCTGTAATCCCTTGGGAGGCTGAGGCAGGTGAATCATTTGAGATCAGGAGTTCAAGACCAGCCTGACCAACATGGTGAAACCCCTTCTCTACTAAAAATACCAAAATAATTAGCTTGGCATGGTAGCACATGCCTGTAATCTCTGCTACTTGGGAAGCTGAGGTAGGGGAATCGCTTGACCCAGGAGGCAGAGGTTGCAGTGAGCCTAGATTGCCCCACTGCACTCCAGCCTGGGCAACAGAGGGAGACTCCATTTCAAAATCAATGAATGAATGAATGAATAAAATGTAAAACAAGACTTTTTTCCCTGTTCTTGGAAAATATGCAGATACCTTTATGAATTGTTTCCAAACTATGCTTTTTTGAAGAGAAGAAGGGTTAGGGAGAGTATAGCAAACTTTCTGAGCCCCTACTACATGCCCTGCATTTTCCCTTTTAATCCTCATGGCAGTGAAATGGGAAACGTTCCTTATCCCCCTCACAGCCTGTGTGATGGGGGTGTGGCTCACTTCTTCAGTGCCCCACTGCTCAGACCTCTAGGGGAGCATACAGATGGGCAGGCTCTGGGGCTCCAACACCACGGCAGTGTCTAGGGGGTGTATGTTTACAGCTCCTGAAACCCCAGGAAGCCTGTGTTACGGGGTGCTCTTTTAGTTTTGCTCTTTTAACTTTGCCATCTATAAGTAGTTTGTGTTAACCAGCTCAATTAGATCCCTGCCTTATCACAAGGACAGAGGGCTTTCTGTATCCTGAGGTTTTTGCCCTCATGTAGCAGGAGAAACAATCACATGTGGGCTTGGATAATGAGTGCAGGGTTTTATAGAGTGGAAGTATCTCTCAGCAGATGGAGGAGCCAGAAGGGAGATGGTTTTTCCGTGGAGTCAGGCTGCTTGGTGGCCTGGGCTCTCCTCCAACTGCCCCAGCCAAACTCCACGCGGTTTTGCCGGTGCCTGTTGGTGAGTTCCTCTTGATGTCCAGCCCCATGTGTGTACCTCCACCTATGTGTGCCTCCACCAATGTGTTCCTCTCTACGTCCAGTGCTTCTGTTCCTGTCTTGCTAGGGTCTTGGGTTTTTATAGGCACAGGATAGGGGTGTGCCACACCAGGGTTGTCTCGGGAAATGCAACATCTGGGTGTGAAGGCAGGAGTGCCTGTCCTCAGCTAGATCCATGGGGTTGGAGTACTAACCAGGGACCATGCCCTCCTCTACCCAGCACTTCCCTTCCCCGCTTCCATATCATTTAAAAAGACCATGCTCTTTCCTTCCCAGCACTTCTGTATCAGCAGCTTCATTTTTATTAAAATGATGATGAGAATGAGATTGGGAGAAGTCCATTTGCTGTCCAAAAAGTGGACAGAACCAGTTAGCATGACAGCCTGATGCATGCAGTCCTGGGAGACTTCACTGGAAAACCTCCCTGGAGTGAGCGGGCCCCTTATGCAGGACTTGCCTGATTGCTCACCTCTCAGCTGTCACCCCTGTGGAGTATGTAGCCAGCATCAATAGATTAGTGTCTGTGACCTCTGGATCTTCAACATCATTCCCAAGACAAGATGAAAAGTACCTGGATGAACAGACTATAAACTGTGATGTTCTGGATGGTATCGCGTGGAGTGGCCAACCCTTTATTCTGTTGAGGGCCGCTAGCCGGTAGTTCTTAAAGAAAACAAGGGCTGTTCAAAATGACAAGCTAAAAGTAAACTGTTTACATAAGACCAAATTACCTCTTAAATAAGAACAGGTCACACCATTGTTTCTTCATTTTAAAAATCCAGTATTTTAAAGTGCTAAAGCATAGTGCTTCAGAGTGAAGAGGGCAGTTAGAAATCATCTGGTTCAGATCTCTCAATTTTCAAATAAGGAGCTTTGATCCAAAGAGTTTGTGTGGTTTTTTTTTCCAAGCCAGAGTTACATGGCTAATAGGGACCAAGCCATCCTCAAAAATAAAACTTTTCTAACTCGTGAGTCCAGTATTGTGATCTGTTCAATTTCCTAGTCACCCATTTCTTCGTATTCCATAGGGCCTTAAGGAAAAAGGAGAGAGTTATGAGAAATAAGAGACTAAAAGAGAAAGAATACAAAGACTGAAAAACAGAATAAGCTTTTCCATTAATTTAGGGTTTCAGCAGGTCACCTCTTGTCACTTTTAGCATTGACATTGTCATTCCTGCTGACCATAGCTCTTTAATTGGGTTTTATAAAAGTTGTTGAGTTTTCCTTGGAAAATTGGAATGTTTTAGTTAATGACTAAAATAAGACTAACCTACAGGTGGATTAATTCTGTGGGTTCAAATCCTGGCTTTGCCACCTGCTGGCTGTGTAAACTTGGGCAAGTTAATCTCTCTAGACCTCTGCTTCCTCCTCTGTAAAGTAGGGATAATGATAGCGTCTGCTTCATGGAGTTGGGGTAATGCGGCTAAATGAGTGCCTGCCTCATGGTATAAGTATTATTAGAGTTAGCATTCCTCAACACAGAATTTTACTTAGAATGATATAATAAAAACCCTTTTAGGAAGGCTTATACGTAGCATTAGAAGCCAGATTTTATCTGCATTCTTTAGTCTGTTGTGTACTTCCTGGTTCTACATATAATTCTTCTGTTTTGCAGAGATAAGTAAGAGACCAGGAGCCAGTGAAAGTTACCCTGGCCATGAAAGGCAATCAGAAATGGCGAGTGGCTGAAGTTTAGCTCTGTGGAACCTTCTGTGCTCTTTTCATTGTGTATGAATGATCTTCTCTCCCTGCTCAGACTTTATCATACTATATTCGGCCAATGTAGGTTATGAAGAAAGTTGCTAGTTATATGTTATGAGTAGTGGAAATAAAATGCAGACTATGGGGAAGACAGCATCTTTGGCCAGAGAAGTCTTGTAGCCAGTTTTCATACTAAATGTTAAGCAGTCTAAAAGACTATTGCAAAGAGTGTTTGAAGAAGCCTAAAGATAAAAGTAACTTGTCTGTTTGATATTACATTATTATTGTTATTGTGTCTGTTACCATTATCTTTATTTATTTTATTCTCTGCCTGATGCAAAATGGACTTGAAACAGCCTATGGAAGTACTTGTGGCCTGGGTACAGTGGCTCATGCCTGGAATCCCAGTACTTTGGGAGGCCAAGGCAGGTGCATCATTTGAGCTCAGGAGTTTGAGACCAACCTGGGCAACATGTTGAAACTCTGTCTCTGCCAAAAAATGCAAAAATTAGTGGGGCGTAGTAGTACATACCTGTAGTCTTAGCTTCTCAGGAGGCTGAGATGGGAGGATCACTTGAGCCAGGAGGTTGAGTCTGTGATGAACCTTGATTATGTCACTGCACTCCAGCTTGGGCGAGACAGCAAGACATTGTCTCAAAAAAAAAAGAAAAGAAAAAGTAGTTGTACAGTATCACAAAATAGAAGCTTAGCTAGGGGATTTGTGGTGGAAGAGGTAGTAGTGAAAGCAAAACGTGGCCTAGGTGAAAATTTTTGGGAAGTTGGTACCCAAAATATATAGCAATAAAGTTCTGTGTGTGTACTGGTTCCTAGCAGCCAACAGAAAGGGGCATAGATGATGTTTTTCTTTGAATTTACAAGTTAAAACAGAGTATTGCTTATGAGAAGCAAAGCTAGTCCTGATTTTGAGCAAAAATGAAATTTTTCTGTGGATTATTATACATTTTAATCAATAATCCTTTGATAAAATGTAACATTTTTGCATTGTATTTACAGATCCAGAACACTAGATCTTTATAATATGCCTTATTTAGTCAGAAATGAAAGACTCTAAACTATACCACAGTGTATACCTCTTTTAACAACCAAGAAAAAGGGTTGCAGTGGCATATTTTTGTCATAAATATCAGAATCAAAGCTTGAAATTATATCAGAGCCTAAAGTAGTATTCCTTAATATTAGAGAAAAAGTTTTATGACATAGCAGTCATTAACTACTGAAAGTAATGTCAAATGTGCCGTAAAACAATGTTTGACAAACTACAGACCAGAACTCTCAAGTAGATTATAAAATCAATTTAGGACGTTGCACTCAGTGTGTTTTTGGATGAAATGTATTCAGAACATAGCAAAGTGGAAGATAGGAGAGGAAGGATGTGCATCTGTGTGTGTATGTGGTGGTGCTGTGTCACAGCGTAAAACGTATTTCTTACTTAGGTTGTATGTGGTGGTGCTGTGTTCCGGTGTGAAACGTATTTCTTACTTAGGTTGTATGTGGTGGTGCTGTGTTCCGGTGTGAAA